GGCCGGACGGCGCTCCAGTCAGGAAGGGAGGGACATGAATAATCCTCTATATATATATACAAACATATATACACATATAAATAGGCAACCCTGACACACCGTCTGGCGCTAAAAAGGATTTAAAGTTGGGTTAAACCTGACTTATTTAAATAAACTAGCTTTTCAAAAAGTCCGAGTCTAGTTTGATCATTAAACAGGTCAGACCTTAAACAGGTCACAGGCCCCTGACACACCGTCTGACCTATTTCCACCCCTAGTTGTACACAAATACATGACAAATTATATTATGGATTCATTACGATATCAAATCGTTTGTAACAAAAAAATCAGAAAAGAGCTAAGTAGGTTCTCCTACTGTACTCAAATCATTACTTAAACACAAATGGGAAAACTGTCAATTACGCCCTCGTATTATAGGCAAACCGTCAATTATGCCCTTGTACTTTAGAAACAATCAATTGAGCCCGCCAAGTCTCCAAAAACACTCAATTAAGTCTATGTTACCGGTTGTCTCCCGGTTTGCCTGTTGCTCACTGACATGGCCGCTTACGTGGAGAACATTTACCCATCTAATACGCTGAGTCAATTTTTTTAACACATCAGCCTCTTTCTCTTTCCATTTTTATCCTTATATATAAATATTACTTTATCCTTTTTATTTGATCTTTTATATGTATATTCATCTCTTTTATATTATCTTTTTTTTATAATAGCTTATCTTTTTTATCTTTATTTTCTTTCTTTTCCTTTTGGTGATATCATATATCGATTCATGTTAGCGGACCCCAATATCGTTTGGGACTAAGGCTTGGATGTTGTTGATCAGCCTCTTTCTCTTTCCCTATTCTTTCCCATCCTTCCCTATCCTTCGGATCCTTCACCAACATGGTCCATAGCCCGGCGGCAAAGATGAAGCAGTTGGAAACACAGCAGCATCTTCAGCCATCTTCTTCCATTCCATGGCTTTCTTCTTCTTCATCTCCCTCCCCTTCTCCCCCTCCATCAACTGCCTCACAAGCCCCTCCACTTTCTCCCTCTTCACATCTCCCTCAATCTCCATTCCAATCCCCCACTCCGTGCAAGCCATCCGGCAATTCATCGGCTGCTCTGCAAAAAATGGCAAGCAGAGCATCGGCACGCCATTGCAGATGCGCTCCACCGTCGAGTCCCAACCGATGTGGGTCAAGAACCCGCCGACGGAGGGATGGGTCAACACCCTTTCCTGCAAGCACCAACTCGCCAGCGTCCCCATGTGCTTCGTCTCTTCCACGAACTCCGGCGGCAGAACAAATCAGCATAAGGGTCAAATAGGCCCTTGAACTGACTTAAAGTGTTCAATTAGCCTCTTATATAGGACTTATATAGGAGGTTTTGCCCGGCCGTTGCCAATTGGGGCGGTTCCCGGTGGAATTTTTTGATGAATTTTTTTTAGCATCTTCTTCATTAAGTCTAGTTTACTCATACCAAATGTCAGCTAAAAATTCAACCGGGAAGGCAGTCAAATGATTTTTTTGAAGATAACTGTGAAGTTAAACAGCGCAGTACATTTCAGAAAATCATTTGACTGCCTTCCCGGTTGAATTTTTAGCTGAAATTTGATATGGATAAACTAAACTTAATGAAGAAGATGGTAAAAAAAATTCATCAAAAAATTCCACCGGAAACCAACCCAATTAGCGATGGCCGGGTAGAACCTCCTATATAAGGGGCTAATTGAACACTTTAAGTCAGTTCAAGAGTCTATTTGAATCAATTGACCCTTTAGCCTATAAAGAAAAAGAGTTGTTTCTCTTGTAGAACGTCCTTAAACACGGAGGGACAAGATTCAAAAGTTATGTCGTGTAAGTGTCACTGAAAAGCACACAAAAAATGACTCAATGACAATAAGAGCCCTTGTTGTAGATTGTAGAGGACTCAATGACAAGTTGACAACTTATAGTTCCCCGTACGGCCGTACTAACTTGTGTATGAACCGAAATAAGTAACGTGATTGAAATTGACTACTTTTTCATATAATTTTTTCTTTTCTTATTGGGAAAATCACTATTAGCCCCTTGAGTTTAGGCCATAATAATTAATACAACCTTGCATTTTCAAAAATCAATTAGTTACCCCTTGAGATTTTATCATTCTCACTGTTTGCCCCCTCACGTTAATATTTGTTAAATTAAATTTGATATAACTATTAAATTTAATGAAAGTTGTCAATAAAATTAAATTTTAAAGTAAAATATAGATTATTATCATACTTATAAGTCATTTTTGTTGATCGTTATGTTTCTATTTAGTCGGTCGAGGAATAAATATTAATGAATCTAGTTAAGATAGAAGACTCAAGAGTGAGTTATTAAATACTACGCATAAAAAATGTTTATATTTTTAATTTAAGAAAATAAATATCATTTTATCTTAGTAAACTAATAAACTTTTTGAGAAGTAAAAAATGATAAAAAATTAATAATAGAATTAAAGCAAAAATTTAGAAATCAAAATTTATGATATCTGTTGAGTTTAATCCAATACGATATAGTAAATGTATGTATAAATGTGTATGAATACTCGGTTTTTACGTGGAAACCCGAAAGGGAGAGAAAACCACGAGACTTTTTAGGCTAACGTTCAATCCCTCTCCTTCTCATTAAGACTCTCATCACCATTACACAGTACAAGCTCCCATTAATGGAGTATTATCTAATCTAGAAGGAAAAAGGATCCTTTACATGGAGGCTAAGCTTCTTATTTATAGACAAAGGGCAAAGGGTGCTCTCCACCCTAATGGGCTAAATGGGCCGAGATAGGCCTGCCGGGCCTAGGTGGGCTCGATGGCTAAAGTGGGCCGGATGGGCCGAAATGAGCCTCACTGATCGGGCTCTGTACTATGTAAAGTCTTGGGCTCCTGAACAGTAATAGGCCAGGATAATATATCCCAACAATATCTATTTTAGGTCTTAGAAAGATTGATAGTTTCAATTGTTCAGACCCTATATCGAAAATTCTATCTTTTAGGTCTATTATTAATACTACATCAATCTTTAAGGTCATGGATTGATAGCATTCCTTTTTTCTTGGTATTTATTCTTTGCTGCACACAAAAGAAATGCATTGAGATTTATTCAACCAGATAAATTACAACTAATAGTCTTATATTCCTGATGAAGTGGTGTCTCGAACTTTAATAACACGTATTTCAAAAAAACTTTCTTTGATGTATCTCATGAATATTACTCAGCTCATGAGTTTTATGCGTTAGCTACTTTTATTAATATTTATTCCACGATCGAGTAACTAAGTACATAAATCGTGATATGAAAAAGACTTATATTTATGATAATAAATTGGGTTTTTTACTTTAAAATTTAATTTATAGACAATTTTCATTGAATTTAAGAATTATATTGAATTTAGTTTAACAAATATTAAAATGAGGGGGCATATGGTGAGAATGATCAAAAGTGAGGGGGTAACTAATTGATTTTTGAAAATGCAAGGTTGCATTTATAATTATGACATAACCCCAGAGGATTAATAATAAATTTCTCTTTCTTATTAATACATTATACTATCTCCGTTCTTAAATAAATGCAACATATGAAAATTTACATTATTCACATGTTCTACTTTGACTACGTTTTATTTATTAATGTATTAATTAATAAGTTTTTATGAAAAAAATATTGTTAAATTTGTCTCATTATAAATTTTCAAAATCTAATTATTTTAATTTTTACTAATACAAAATTATATATATTAATGGTTAAAGTTGTGTCTCGACAAGTGTGAAATGTTGACCGTTGCATTTATTTAAAAACGGAAGTACTTTAAATAAATACGCAGTTAAATAGTTATACAATACGAAGTATAAAATTTTCTACTGCGAATAATTTCAGTAGCTTCAACGAATTTCAATGTAACTAAAGACACTCTAACAGTAAAAACGCACTAACAAATTAAAATACATACAAAACATATACGTATTACTTCATCTATTTAAGAATATCCAGTCTATTAAAACTCACCAAAGTCCTACTCGTACAAAATAGTGAAATCTAACACAATGAGCACCACTACAAATCTGTGATGATGAATTCCGTAACTGGCTCTCGATAATGAACTTGAATTTAACAGAGTCAAACAATTAAAACCTTTAACAGGTTGCTCTAAGATTTTGCCCGGTCAAAGTGGGGATTATGTCGCTTTACTCTGCTCTTTTTATTTTTTCCGTCTCTAGTTGACTCTAAGATTTTGCCCGGTCTAAGATTTCTACTCTTCAAAGAAAAACTCATTCTCTGCACCTCTTTTTCGACTCTTTAATTAGGTGTCACTCTTCAGGCATTGGACTGTTATTTTTAGGTTCGGTATCGTTCCCAGTTTAGGGCATTGTGGGAAAGGGGATCGCCGTTTCTCATAATACTCTCACAAGTGGCCGTTCAATGGCCTTATATCCCATTGTATGAATTGTATCCCTCATGCCAACAAGATGCTTTGTGAAACACCAATTTTTTTACTCCATGCACCTAATAGGTAAATAATAAGAAAGGTCGTGAGTACATGTTTAGCTTAAATGACCCTGGAATTGCTAAATAAGATCATTCCCACAATCCCACCTTTTTCATATTTTTCCCTTTTATTGTATTATTAAGTTGTAATTTACTCGTATGTTTTAAATATAATGTATTCATACTGTAAACCATTTTAACTCTTACTTAACAGACTGCTCACGCTTTCGGTCAATTTTCTTATTCTCATTAATCAGGGACCTCGGTGGGGGTTGGAGTGCAAAATGATACGGAGTATACAAAAAAATATGCAATACAAAAGATAAACGAGTGAGATTAAGTTCCAACATAAATAAAATTGATAGAAACATTAAGCTAAATATAACATGCCCAAGCATGTTATATTATACATTAAACTTAAAATTATACATTTATAAATTCTATAATTATTACTCCGTATTTCAGAAATATATTAAAAAAATTATTCAAAAGTATTTTCATGTAATAAGAAGTACCTTAGTACCAGCGAAAGGAAATACATTTTGTCCTGTATATATAAGGAAGTTTTGTATGTGCCAATTACACATTATCTATATGAAGGATGCTATGAAATCATGTAATAAGCATATTACAAATCCACTCTTGCAGAAGACGGACTAACACGTCCATAAAATACGTCATAAGTCATAACTGATGGTCATAACAAGTTAACATCATAAAACAATATTCACAATATACTTGCATAAGGGTTTTGGTAGAGGTAGTAACATGTAACTTCCAATCCATTTAGGATGACGCCCACAAGTTGTACATGGCATTCAACTGATTAAATTCCGCTGACCTCAAAGACATCTTGTAAAGCTCCTTTAGCTTTCCAGCACTGGCAGCAGATTTACTGGATGCAATATGCTGAGCCCCCCCAGAAGGCTTGTTTGTGTTAGTTGAAAGTGTTACGGACAACATTCTCTTCAACAACATCTGCAACTGACTCCAAAATCTTGCACAAATTTCATGACCATCGTCACCCAATGATGTGTTCTCAGATAAATGGCGCGCTTCAAGCATCCGAGAAAGAGCTGATTCAAGGAGTTGCTACATAAAATAACTAACAAGTTAACCTAAACTCTGTTCTAACATCTAACATAATTGACAAAGTACACATCAAATACCAAATAACACCAAAAATTGAAATATTACATTGGAAATAAGACAGATGTTTTCCTAATGCAAGTTTTCTGCACCATAAGTGGACATATGGGGTTACTTATTTACTATGTACTTATTTATTTATATCTACTTTGACCATTCTCTGTGGGTACAGCTATGTCAAGATTAACACAAATAGGATATCTTCCATTCTTTAAATGAAGAATGTGCAAAGAACTTGGAGGAATAGCAATGAAAAGTACAGTTGTGCACCATTTAGCAATATTACATTGAGGCATGCTGCTGTGGTCGGTAAAGCAATAGTATATACAGTTGTGATCCATTTAGCAATAATATACTATCGTGAACTTGTGATCCATCCAGAATTGTTATTTTCTCTACCTATTTTCTTAGGCCAGGAAAACGCATTTCTTATACACATTTTGCCTAAATACATTTTTTATTAACTAAAAGCGGTAATAATAAATTAAATATTATTTCAGAGTGTTTGGTCTTTCTTACCAATCCCTCAATTATTATTCTAAAAAATTCTATAAACTTTGGAGCTCGCTACGCATATTTCCTACCAATTTCCAAAAAAATGAAATCACTGTTGGGATATAGCACACACACAATACAAAAAACGATAAGAAAAAACACGAGTTTGGTTACCCAGTTCGCCAAGAATGACAACATCTGGGGGCGCTACCAAGCCAGGAAGTTACTATTATTTTCTGATCATGATTACAATGAGAGAGCGGGTATTTAAAGAGAGTAAAACCCTAATCTCAATAAGAAACGTGCAGCCCATATTACAAAAGACCCAAAAATGCCATAGGAGATTCCTTCACTAAGTGATCCTCTTAATAATTTTATTATGTCATGCAAGGCAGAACTCACCAAGCCACATAAAAGAATACAAATAAAAAACAGCAGCACAAAAACATTGAGAACCACAGAATTAACAAAAACCTATCATTTATGTAGGGCTTGTTTATTCCAATATTTTGGAGGGGAGAAAGGTTTTTTTTCTCAATTATGTCAAAATGTATTTTCCATCATTACCAATGGAGCCAAAGACTCACCATTTTTTTTGGCTTGAGTATGTGATGGAATAAAGCAAAACGGCTCACTGAACTGTCTGCGCTTCTTTGCTATGAAGCAGCAGTCAGTCCATGCAATTTTCTACGCGATTTTCATCATGGGTCAATCGGAAACAATCTTTTTGTGCTTTAGTGCAGGGGTAAGGCTGCGTATATCCGATCCTTCTTACCCCACCGTATGTGGGAGCCTTTGCGGCACTGAGTAATGTTGTTGTTGTTGTATGTCTAAATGTTGATGGTTGGAAACAAAATAAAGACAAAAACTATATTCAAATACATCATATATGATATACCTAATCATATAGTTATTTCTTGTATAAAACTAACAAATAGAGACACATTAGTAAAGTAAAAATCAATATAACCAAACAAACCCTTAATATTACCGTATGAATGTTCCAATCAGTTAATCAAAGAAATAGATGTAAAGTAGTAAAACATTAATCATACCATATTTGAATGAAGAGAACTTGACAGATTGGTCGAGAGAGCTCCTCTCTCTATCAAGATAGTCAAATGCATTAGCGGATGTGATTTTGGCCCATAAAATTCCATTGACTTTTGCCAGTTTCTCTCAGCCAATGATGCATATTGTTTTACCCTTTGGAGAGAACTAATCTCAGCCTTAGACAAGAGGTTTTTATTCTGATCTTGCTCCAAAAATTTCAAACAGCAATCTCTCTGGTAGCATGCTAGCTGAAAATAGGCATAAGCAGCCTCCTGCTTGCGTAATTCACCCAATGATTCATAAAGGGACAAAGATTCTCTAATAGCATCATTAGCCGACATCTCATGTTTTATAGGGTTTCTTTTAAGTCTAGTAACATGGGAGGCAACATAATCCTCCAGTACATAATTTTCATAAACGGCTGCAGTTGTATCTTCTCTGGCTAACAGCATTCCTAACCTTAGATAAGTATTTGCAAGCTGTGTATGTGCTTCGTTTCGCAAGCTGATAGTAATGGAATGAGCTTCTTCAGCAACAGCATTTACTGCTGCTTTTGCTGCTCCATAATATTTGAGTGACTCGCTGTATTGTAATTTGGCATTCTCCAATGCTTGCTTGTATGCATCGTGCAATATCGCATGCTTTTTTAGAGTCTCAAGCTTTGACACCAGCTCTTCAGCTATGGCTCTTCTTCCATGACCCAAATTGCAGTTAATCAAAATAATATTAGTATGGTCTGATACTTCTTTGAAGGCATTAATAGCCTGAGCAAATGCAATTTCAGCTTTATCTAATTCTTTCCTGTCCAGCCTCCTTCGACCTAACTCATTGCAAACCCATCCTTCCTTTCTAATTAAAGATAGCAACTCTGTTGAATTAGTAGGATGTGATGCGAGTGCTTTCCTCGCTTCTTCATAGCATTTTAAGGCACAAGAAAGGTTGGAATCAGTGTCACCAAGCTTACAACCTCTGATATATTTGAATATTCCCCCCACTTTGACCCCATTTTTTGTTTTTGATGTGTCAGACTGAGCAAGTGATGCCCCATCATTATCATCATCATCCCCTTGCTTCAGGGAATCACGTATGTATGATTCAGCAGCAGGCAGTTTCTTTTCATCTAAAATATTGGGAATCATATCAGAATCTTTTCTTTCACTGTCACTTTTATAGTTCTTCACACTATTGTTTTTGACAGATAATTTATCTTTACCTTTCAAAAGCATACCTTCAAAATTTTCAGAACGATGGTAAGGATTACTCTTAGTCGGTGACATTTTGTTCTGCTTTCTCCCATGAACAGAAGAGCGTGTATCTCTAGAGCTACAGCTAGCACTGCTGCCGCTAGTAGCCCTGTCACTCTGACAGCTGCAATTCATCAAGGAACACGAGTTGCAGTTTTGTGTACATTGTCCCAATTTTTGTTTGAGCCTTTCTACCTCCTCTAAAACTTCAGATGACATTTTCAACTCTTTGGTAAAGCATTTCTGCTCTGATATAAGAGAGAATTCTTTACCCTCTACTGGATGTAGCTGCACATATATATCTCCAACCAAAGCCCAAGCTTTTGCCCAAAAGGGGTAACTGTACGCAAACGCATGATTGCCAACTACAGACTCCACATTTTCACTTATGCTATTAGTTTCCTCTTCAACAAGTGAACCACAAGACATAGAAGATACAAACTTTGTGTCTTCCCTATGTTGAGGCATTGATCCATAAACAAGACAAGCTAACTCTACAACCTTCAATGCCTGATACAACAGACCACCATCTTTGTAAGCTTCCCCAAGAGCCAAGTATGACTCTCCAAGCAATAGAACAAGTTTCCACAACTTATCATCCAATTTTGATGTGGGAAGCCACTCCCTAATGTCACAAACTTCAATACACTCAGGATCACCACATGCACAAACAAAATTATCCACTGAATGAGGTAGGTTATCCTCAGTTCTGTCATGATTGTCTAGTTCTTCTTTAATGGTTTGCCTTTGCCGATTCCATCTAAGAGATTTAATAGCTTGTGATACATGATGTATTGCAGCAAGCTTAGAGACAATAGGATCAGCAATGTCTTGAACAACAGCACTGGTGCTTTCTGAATTGTTTCCAATTTCAAAGCTTATGCCACTGGAACTCGGATGGTCTTCGAAGTGTGCTTCATTTGCCTCGCTTGGAGCTGAAGATTTATGTATTCCACATAAAGATATATTTCCTTCTGGATCTTTTACAGGGCTTCCGTCATCTCCTCCACTTGATTGATCTCCAAAAACATCCAAGGAGATTCCATCATGGAGCCTCAGTTCAGAGATACCAGCTAAAAAATTAACTGAACTTTCCTCCTCAGTATCAGTGATTGCAACTTCAGACTCTACAAGAAGTGATTCAGAGGACAAGTCCAGATTCTCATCAAAAGTTAATAGAAGTCTTGCGAACTGTTCGTGAGCTAATGCACGTATAACCTGTTTCAATAATTTATGTCAACAATCATTCATTTAACAATAATTTTAGCACTACAAGTTTACATTTGTGAAAGGAAAAAAATATTATGATGGTGCTAAGATAAATTTTAATATAAACTTTGAGGTATTTTTATTACATATGTAAATTTGGGGTGCTTACCTCACACCCATTAAAAGTTTGGGGTATTTATTTTATTTTCCCCTTCAAGAATACATACCAGATGATCAGGATCTTCCAAAAAGTCTAGACACTTCTTGAACAACTTTGCACATCTTGCCCAGTTTTTAGAAGACTGATAAAAGCATTCAGTGTTAGCAACAGAAGACAAATGAAAATGACACAAGTATATAGCATAATAGGACGTTCAAACCATTGATAGTGAAAGTCTGTGAGCAATCCGGTATAATAGCATCCCCAATGAGAGTAATGAACTACTTCTTCCTCTGTGTATCAGAGATGGCAGTGAACTTGAGTTGTCATCATAGTCATCTGAGGGATGTTTGTTGGGTATGACAGATAAATCAAAAAGTTGGACAGCATCTTCACCAGCACTTTTGTATAGCTACAAGAGGTAGGAAATTAAAATATTATTAAAGTAGTTTCAAAGTGGTAAATTAAACCCAATATGAATATAATGCAAAATTTACAAAAATGGCAATGTACCCAATAAGCACCAGGATCTTGTGTGCAATTGTCCTGAAGAAATCTAAGAACAGACAGCCCATTTTGCTGAACAATATGAGGGTTGAAAGCAGGCAAACCATCCTCAGATATTCCTTTTAACAGAAAAATGTCATCAGTTTTTATGAGTTCATAGCCCTGTACAACACCATCTTGATGGTAACAGATTGCCAATTCAGGGATACTAGCCATAACATTATCTAGCCAGGCTTCCAGCCAAATAAGTGGAGTGACCTGCCATAATAAGTAGGAAAGAATGAACAATGCAGAAAGTTTAAACGTACAACAGATTACTCAGTTAATACCTCCATTCCATTTTAAGTGTCCTTGTCATGGAATGAGACAAAACTATAGCCATCTTATGATTTAGTTCCATAATTTTTTTATTTAGAACCTCTTTGCTTGAAGTTTGGACTAAATTTCCTATTTAAGTCTAGTTTGGTTTGTTTAGGTTAGGTCCAATTGGTTCTAGTTTAATATTATAAGAATTTTACTTTTAATATATTTATATTATTTTAATAATAATGTAATATATTATTCATTTGATAGTTGTTAAAATTAAAAAATTCAGCCTCCTAAGTTAATACTTAATATGAAATCATAAAATATATTTAAATCATAATAATCTTAAATAAATTAATTTAAAATAGAATTACTTTTTTGAATTTTAATAACTATATAGTGATAACTTTCTCTGATCTTTTGTAGTTGCAACTTGCAACACTTCCATTTTCACATTTCCCAACACACAACTTTGACCATTGATATATTTAATTCACGAGCAGTAAAAACATTAATAAATCAGATTTTGAAATTATAAAATGAGACAAATTTTCAAAAAAAAAACAAATTCCTCATAATTATAATTTAAAATGTAGTCAAAGTAGAGCATGTGAATAGCATAAAATTCAACATGTTGCAATTATTTAAGAACGGAGGTAGTATAACATAGTCATTAGTCAGTATTAAATATATGTATTCATGATGATAAAATTCAAACCTATCAGCCCATATTAGATCAAACCTGACATCTACTCAACCAAATTGTACCAGACCAGCCCAGACGGAACCAAACTGGATTAGACTAGAGTCACTAGACCATACAAGAACAAATCAGACTTGATCAAACCAGACAATGGGAAGATTTAGGGACAACAATTTGTCTCGTTTCCTCTGATTATTTCAATACAAAACTCGTTGGAAGCTTTAACATTAATAATTTCCAACAACACTAGTGAGTATTTGTGGGATAATAATAATAGTAATAATGATAGTATTGCAAATATTAATGATTGGGTAAATTTTCAAAATAACAAGAAAGAATAGTAACCATATTGTTAAAGATTAAACAAAAATGTTAAAGAAAATAAGTGAAGAGTAAAACGCCGGGTTGACTAATGAATAGTGAGGTAAAATGAGATGGAGTATGTGATACACACCTGCCTTGAAACATCCCAGAGATGTAAGCTCACAGCAACATATTTCTCATTGCTGAATATGAGGAGGTCAGTTCCTAAGAGCATACGAAAGTTGTGAAACTGCCAAAACAAGACCCTTAGAAATTCATCATTACTAGATCTTCTATATTTTTCAGATTCTTGTACTGAACTCCTCGGCATTTCTTTAACTTGAGAGACCTTAGTGGCATCATGACCTTGAGGTCTCTTATTTTTCTTTTTCCTTAAGAATAAGTCATTTTGATTGGACTTAGAGTACTTGGAATGAGAGCTAGATCCTTTATCCCGACCAATAGTACTACTTTCACTGTAGGTATTATTTCCCTGAACTGATTGTTTAAAAGATTCAGATGGAACTGCCCTTGGTCCAAATTGCCGATGGTGAACAGCTGAATCTGGCCCTTCTTTTTGTGCTGCATAGGTTGGTGGACAGTCACAAGCCTCCATTCGAACAGAATGCATAGCAAAATTGAGAAACAATGATTGATCTGCACATTTTTGAGGATTACTATTTCTTCTAACAAGTTTTTCTCCCTCTTCAACATCAGGCCTGCACTTTGGAATATTTGACACTTCGAAAGTGTTTACAATCTAGAAAAGCAACTCACAAAAGATCGTTTCATACCATATCTCTATTTTTACTTTGACCCCTTACCTTCAAGGGGGACAGCCCATACCACTCAACTGTGCAAAGTTAACCGCCCTTGGTTATTTTATCACAAATACAGTTTATTCTTCACAAGGTTTCAACTTTACATAGTTGGTAGATGAATACAACAGCAGCATTACCCCAACGCCGCAAAGGCTCCCACCTACAATGGGGTGGGGGGTCAGATGTAAACAGCCTTACCCCTGTACTAAAGCACAAAGAGACCGTTTCCGGATGACCCATGATGAAAATCGCGTCAAAATTGCATGAACTAACTGCTGCTTCATATCAAGGAAGCGCAGACAGTTTAGTGAGCCATTTTGTTTTATTCCATGATATTTTCAAGCCAAAAAATAGTGAGTCTTTGGCTCCATTGGAAATGATGGAAAAATAGTTGGTAGACGAATAATAGACAAAAAGGTTATCAATCAATAGTCAAATAAGGTTGGAGACTGAAAAAACACTCCATTAAAAATTTGTCCAAACATGGTGTTATAGTGATGAGAATAAAAATGGGTAAACACTAAACAGTAATAAACACGCTCAAAATAAAAGCCTACCCTGTGTTGAGGACTAAAGTTTGACCAACACGATGTACTGCAACTGACAATCGAGCTTTTGAGTATGGAATCTTGAAGATTTGCTTCAGAATATCAGTAGACGCAATTACATCTATCTCGTCTCCATACTTGACCAAACCTGAAACAGCTAGAGCCTCGCCTTTCCTTGTAAGGTTTGATGTAACAGTGCTAGTTTCCCATGACAAATCTGCAAGCGTGAGATATTGATTTGAACAGCTTTAAAGCAACAATACTCCAATATTATAATATGAAATGCACATGACGGTCATTGGTGTAACTCGTGTAAGATACAATACATGTTGCACAAAAATAGCAAATGATGGGCATGTAGGCAGGTAACTAAATGAAGGTTGAGGTCGATAATTAAGATGGAGATTAATAGATAATAATGATGTCAACGGTAAGTGGAATGCATGTTTTTTGTATTTAGATATGTGATCCAAGTATCCAACTTTTTTTAAACAATCGATTATGAGCATAAAATCTTTTTTTGGTTTCTATAAACTGGAGAATTATCCAGCCATGAAGCAGACCAGTAGTTTTCCTAGAGGCTACATAAATCATTCTATAAGAATATACGCATGATCAAATAAGCTCTAGTTCACTACCCAACCCATCAGTCATAACAGATCTGTGAAGCTATATCAAATACACAACAAATTTGTCTTTTAATTGGATCTGAAACATCCATGTCTACAATGCTTCATATACTGTCAGAGATCAATTGGTGAGCTAAGAGTTGCATGTTTGCACAATATCCCATAAAGCATGAGATAATGCTAGCGTGTGCTGGAGAGGGGGGAGACTAGGGAGTGGAAATGTAACCCCCCTTGCTAATAGTGTAGAGGATTAGTGATTGATCTCATTATGAGCAAGACCTCTTTGTGAAGCTAAGTCAAGAGTGGGAGAAAATGGTGAGGTTTGAAGAATGGAATGCCTAGGCACCCTAAGCCCTTGCATTTTGCAAAGAGACTGATTGAAACCGGGATCTCCAGCACATAATAGAGATACTCCACCATTGAGCCAGGTTTGCCCTCCAATTTTTTATATATCTTACATCACCATATGGCATAGTGACATGTCATGTATGTGACCAACACCCTTTTAGGCAAGTCTCTTGGATTCTAATAAGTAAAGTGCAAGGAGATTTGCAGTGTCGTAGGAATAAATTAAAATAATAACAGGAAAAGAAAGGGAACGATAAAATTTCATGGTGTTTACTTTTCTTTTCTTCATAATTCATTGTCATTTGAAAAAACTGTACCTATAATAGACGGGGTTGTGGAACATATAGAAGCTCCAAAATGAAAATGGGATATCATAATAGAATTATAGAATGCTATCAAAAGCAAGGACACACCACTAAAAAGTAACCATAAATCATATTTGATAAAACAAGCCAATGGGCTTGATCACCTCCATCATTCATACATAATAAAGCTTAGTCAACCAACTAAAAAGGAAACATAAAATCATCTTTGAAAATTTAATCCAATCCCTTGTCACTCTTTCAAATTTCTGCTTTGTTTGTTCCTTTGTTCTTGTGGAATCCCCTCTTGTGGCCTCATTTTGAAAAAATGAGGTTAGGTGCCAATATACGTGTTAAGATCACCCAGTCCAAGTGGCGTGATTGGCTGGTCGAGTGCCACAAGACCTTGTGTTTTCTTCTTTTTTCAATCTATTTGACTTTTTCTATTAATTTTTACAATAGTACAATACATTAAATAACTCTTGGTAATATATGAGCTATTTCAATGACCAAGTAACACATGAGGGTTAGCTCAGTTATTTATTTTACAATTAAAGTTTTTTTTGCAACAATGTACTTTTTACAAGTATATATGAACCATATCAGTTACCAAAACTACAAAAAAATCTGATAGGTTACTGAAATCCAAATCTAAAGAGAAGTAGAAGTAAATTCCAGAAATAGAAAGTCCAATGTATATATGCCTTTTGACTGTAGTAATGATAAACTAGAATCAACAACACTTTCCACAGTCCAGAAAGGTGTATTTATAGTAGTAGAGAATATTTGATCAATAAGTTATTTCTAATGCATATAGAAAGCCTACATGTGTCCTCACTTCCCGAGTGCTTACGGCAGCGTGGGGTGGACGACGCCGTAGTTTTTCAATGACATGTCAATCTGCTAATTTTATTTCAAAGCTCGGGGCAGAGGTTGGCCTTCAGGGGCACCCTCCACAGGCAGTGTTCAAGCTCATCTTTCAATCCCATTTCTTTTGTACGATTCTTTGGGCCCAGGGGTATGCGGTAATATACCCTATCAAAATCATTTTAAGAAACTAAAACTGAGGCCTGGGCACCATTAGGTGGCATGCTAGCCAAGTAGCCAACAGGCCACAGCCCAAATAATGCCTAATGGTTTTTAGAACAATGAAATCCACCACCAACATAGTCTATTTAGTTTTTGTGTGTTCTTTCCTATTTTTCCAGTGCTGGACAAGTTGATAGGCCACCTCCGCTCAAGGCCAAAATTTCCATCCAAGGGCACACAAATGCCCATAGCTTACTTCAGTAAAATGATGTGGATACTTGGTCACCTTTTTAGTGACTTGAGAAGCATAACCCAATGCAGAGCTGCACAAATGCATATCTGCCTTTTCTTTCAAGAAGCTGGTAGAATGGGCCATCAAAATTAAGAGACTAAAGCATTTCCCAAAGTCCCAAACAACAGAACTTTAGCAGTCATGGATATGATCCAAAAGTTTGGAGTGCTGTACACTTGTACAGTTGTACATAAGTTATGCTCCTCCCATTCACAAGTCACAACAAATAGTATTTTAGGTTTTGTCACACATTATTAAGAAACAGATTAGAGTATGTAGAGCACATTAAATTAATATTTTTTAATTCTAGTAAAAAATATTATAATGTACTATAAAACTAGTACATTATAATGTACAAGGAAAATAAACAGAGGTAATTAATAAAGGACAAAAATAGAAGAAAAAATTATAGTGTGCCTAGAAATTCTAAAATACCACTTATGTGTCAGAATTATAAAACTGCCGAAATGTTACTCATTGTGATATGTGAAGCAAGCTAACCATGCGGAGCTAATTCTCCATACCCAAGAAAATGTACAGCAGACATTTTATTAAAAATAGTAACAATCTATATGCATAAATGTCCTGTTAGAAATTTATGGTACATTTACCCCAACAACAACATTACTCCAGTGCCGCAAAGGCTCCCACCTACAAAGGGGTTATGGTACATTTACCAAAAAGACTAACTTAGCACACAATAACAAGAAATAGAAATGAATCTTCAAAACTATAACTAATAAACTTACTAAATAGTCTCTCACATAGATAGTACGTAGTACGGAGTATATGACATAACACTTCATAATGCACATATATAACACCTCCAGCAAAAAAATATAACTAAAAGTCCAAAACTGATAAACAAATAAAAAAAAATCACATATAATAAATCATACCTCCAGTGGACTTCAAGTGTGCAACTGGTGCAGGAACAACCTTCTCTAGAATACTAGATATAAGTGGCAAAGTGTTCAGATTGGTCTCAGTTGGAATCATCCGGTACCTTGGAGCTTGCACCCTAAATTATAGCGAGTTGTATGTTAGAAAAATAATATCAAGAGGCCAAGACCACTATTGTCTCTCAAAAAATAACAGTATAGTTCCTCAGTCCTAAACAAACATGCATACGGATTATCGATTCACATACGTATGGGGAGATGGGACCAGAGCGGATTTGACAGCATGGAAGGCTTTATCAGTGGGCACTGGGAGTGAGCCACAGAGGAAACCGACGGGTTTTGGCCGGACGATTTCGAGGCGCCCTACGCATTGCAGCTCTCCAGAGCTGGAGCTTGCTGATTTATCCATCCGTACAGTCACCACAGCCAGCTAGGGTTTTGAATTTCAGCGTTGAACTGATCACTTGTAGTGATCGATTTCTCTTCGGCTGCAATAGGGTTGGCTACAAAATCTACTGTGAAATTGGTTGATCTTTACGATACGGAGTAACGCACCCCTTCCTGTACGATATACCTGCAGAGTATGACAGAGATGAGGAGCTCGGGGGCACCACAGCGGATTGGAGAATGGGAAGTGCGGGAAATGTAGACTTCGGGCGACCCGAAACCGCGGGAATTGGGATTCAGAGTTCAGACGCTAATGTAAGCCATGCGTTTTGGGCTAGGTTTGATATTGCTTAAATTTTAAAAAAGTAATTTTGAAAAGCTATTCTTAAAAGTGATTAATGGTAAAAGTTTGAAGTATTTGAGAATAGAAGTGATTAAAATAAAAAGGTTAAAGTTGGAGTGTTTGGAAAAAGGTGATTGTGAGATTATATATTTTTGAATGTACAAAAATATTCCTTCCCTGTATATATATATCAGCTCACCTTCCTCTCTCTCGATCAAATACTCCCTCCCGATAACCTAACGCACGGTTCTCCTCCTCCAGAGCTCCTTCATTCGGTTTTTCGATTCAGGTAAGAATATAATATCTCCAGAGCTCCTATTATATCTACAACTCTATTTTTGTATGTGAACAACGAAAACGAAACCTATGTACTGCTAAACAAAACCTAATTTCTTTGCAATCCCTCAGTTACCTTCTTATTGGGTTAATATGATGTGCTCAGTTCCTAATGATTTGGGTTAATCAACTTTTATCACTGGAAGCAATGAGCACAGCCTTTTAGTTACAACAAATAATTTGGGTTTTCTGTTACCTTCTTGTATCCTTCCTTGTACCCTTAACAATCTGCACCCTCGAAGAACTTGTATGTAGATAAGTTGACTTTGAGTTGCAACATGTTAATATATGGGGTGTAATCTGGTAGTTGATTTCATTTCACGCGTATTGCTTCTTTGCAATTTTAATTTAAACAAAAAAAATCATGAATGAGTGATCGAATGTGGTGTCCAGATTTACAGTTTATCTTAGAGTCCTACATCATAGAATTAGTGATAGTATAATGAGTTAATAATACCTTGATTGAACTAGCTACTGTATTAGATTTAATACCTTTGTTCCACCCAAACTTGTAAGTGTAGCTGCTTTATTTCAAGTTTTAGTTTCAGTATGCAAGTGGCCAACCGGTTAGGTTCAAAATGCTCTGGTTGTCCACGGGGGGGGGGGGGGGGGGGGGGGTAAGAGTCCCCATCGGAAAATTAATGAAAAAACAATGGGTTAGACCTCGAGTTGAATTAGCATATAGATCTGCTTCACTTTTTAGTGCGGTTTGATCAAGTACCACAGGGGGTTGCACATCATATTAACCCAACTCACATTATATCACATCACGAAACCCAAATCATTAACTGATGTAACCCAAATCAATTAATTGCTTGACAAATTCACATTATGCATTTTTTCAAAAAGGTTTGTAAAGAGTAGTACAAATCTCTGTAAAGGTTTGTAAAGAGTAGTACAAATCAATAACTTATGTAACCCAAAAAGGTTTATATCACAAAATCTTATTGGCTTTCTCTGTATTTACAAATCTCAAATTGTACATAAATTGTGCTTGTTCATTAGGTATCAAAGATGGGTGCTCTCAAAGTCGATGAAATGTTTGAGATGTACTCGTGGACCACTAGCAAGGAGAAGTTTCTACTTGATCAAATGATTGGTTTTGAAGAAGAACAAAAGCGGTTTGATGGTAGCACTTTTAGGACGGATGTTTTGACAGAGATTGTTTCAATGCCTATAAAAGAATTTGGGAAACCATTCACTTTGGAGAAAGTGAAAAGAAAAAGCATTTCATTTAGGAGTAGGTTCAACTTGGTGCATGCTTTGATGTGTTGGCCTAGTGTGAATCTTGACGTAAGCACAAAAGTGTCATGCGCGCTTCCTTCCCATCCGGGTAAAACAAAAGTGAAGCACATATCAAAGTCACACGCCACCATCACATTTTGTGTTGGGTAGCCTTTCCTACCAATAAATGGAATTTGCTTGTCAACTTTAATTCTTGCTTCAATGTGAGTACCATCTATAGCGCCAATGCAGTCATGCGCACCATTAAATATTCAACAATAATTCATGCAGTTGCTCATTGTGTTAATTTTTTATGTATAATTTACCTTAAAGTGAGGCCAATATATTGGATGACCTTGAATATATGGATTTGGAGCAAGGTTATCAGAAAATGGCCTAACCCAATCAATTGACATCTTGGTGGTGGCCTTTAGTACATTGTGAAATGATCGGCTAATGGTAAAACCGGATCGTTGGAACATCTCTTGAAGTTGTCGGTTTCCTTCACCAACTCCAACAACCATCATAAAAGTGGCTACTTCTTCCTCAACGGGGACACCTCTTGTGCCCTTTAATCCATAATTATTGACTAATAGTGCACACAATTCAAAGAACACCTCTTTATGCATGCGAAAATGGTTAGGACACCGATTTGGATGTCCATTTAGTATGTCCATTAATGCAGCCCATCCACTATATCGTCTATCATAACAAGGTGTCTTTTGTAGATACTTGTTGTAATATATATAAGCTCCTATTGCAATAGCACCTATGTAATTTTTTCTCCTCTTCGCAATTGATATAGAACTATTACCTTCACTTTCCTATTCATCCAAAGCAGTTTCTATATCTTCTTCACTGGATGATTTGGAAAGAGAATCCAAATTGATATATGATGATATATCTGACATTCTGTATAAATAAACATGATAATTTAGGACTCAATCATATTACAAAACATAAAGCATATAGTTCATATCATAAACAAAGTTAAACAAAGAGAGTGCAAATGATCAATAACTAGTTTGTCCTAAAACTTCCAGAGAGTGATAATCGCCTTCAAGATGAGAAGTTCAAACTTAAAAAGTCCAATAAACCAAATTAAACAACACACAAAGAGTCTATTAAACGCCAAATGCAAAGTTCAACAAACATCAAACTAAAAACAAGTGAAAATCAGCCATAAGATGCATTATCGGCATGAACCGAATCAACATGCGCTGAGGTCGTGGAGGAGCTTCTTTTCTGAAGAGAATTGTCGAATTGTTCTTCTAGCCATTTTTGTCGAAAAACATCTTCCTTAATATTCATCCAAAGCTCTCTCACATTCGCCTTTAAAAATAGCTTGCAAACATACATCCATAGCTTCCCCCCAGGTTCAATTTCGTTCATACGGTCCAACACTTTCATGCATTCCTCTATGGAAAACCGACGAGGTTCAGATGAAGAGCTCTCACCTTTCATAGTACCAACCATATCCTCAAGGCATCTAGCAATATTCTCTGCCGATGTTAACTTTTTATGCTTCTTGCCGGTAATTAGTGGAGGCAACTTGCCAGTGAAAATCTTTTTGAGAGAGCATCTCATATTACCACGCTTGTGTGAACCACATGGTTCAGTATTGTTCCCTTGAACAGTAATATCATCGTCAGCTTCCTGAAAGGTCTCCTGGTTCGATTCAAAAGAATCTTCTTCCTCACCGTGCAAGTGTGGCGGTAAAATACCAGAACTAGGAGTCCATGCATCTCCTCCTATTGCCACCACATCTCCAAATAAAATCTCTTGTTGTTGCACCAAAAGGGGTCCTCGTAATCTGAACTTTGACAACTCGGGATGACTCTGCAATATAGATTTATTGTTTTAGAGAATCTGGACGATGTATATACAAAAGAAAACAAAAAATTAATGGATTCATAATATAAAATATTAAAACAAATACCTGAGTTTTTCGGATCCACCATCCATCATCAGCATCAACAGTTCCTTTAACATGATCCCAACTTAACCCCATCTCCCCTTTGAGTAGTGTCATCCATTGACCCCATTCTTTTTTAAAGAATCCCAACGATTTTTTAATTGCCCTCTACTATAGGACCTCCCAGTGGCTTCGTAAATTTTTTCCCCTACATTATCCCAACCGGTTCTGTTAAAATGTGTACTGGGCCTATTTCCTGCATCTAGCTCTCCAACACATACCCTAATAAATTCCTCGGTTGCAATTGCATCCCAATTCGCCTTCTCCAAATTAACCGTAGTCCTAGCATTTGGTTTCCTAACTTTCAGCTTTGTGCCTTGAGAGGACAATGGTTGTAGCAGAGACGTTGCTTGTGATTGAGGTTGTTGTTGGTAGTTAGGACTCAAAGAGTATGTTTCCTTAGGCATTGTTGAACCCATGACTACATCAAAGGAATAAATATATATACATTGCATTGAAGGAATAAAACAGTTAGATAGGTTTGTTACTATCTGTATAAAAAAACAGTTCGTAAATAGTATTGATGTTACTTTTAAAAGTTAAAAGCTAGAGGGTTCAGACTTGTTTTATAAAATTTAGAAGTTAGAGGGTTCTGTATTGTTTTTCTATAAAAGTCAGAGGGTTTAGTATTGTTCCAAAATTTAGTTAAAAGTTAAAAGTTAGTAAATCAGTGGGAAAATGGAAACTAATAATCCAACCTTTTAGCGATCTTGTTACAATAGTCCCACATTTTCGTTATTCATGAATAATCCAACCTTTGCACCTCATATTCATTCACTGGTCCCTGGTCGGTTGATAACCTGCTATTCCAAGTTATTTTCTTATCTTTGCAAACCATTATACCATAAATCTCACCTTTCACAAATATAATATTTTGCAAAGATAAGAAAATAACTTGGAATAGCATGTCATTAACCGGTCAGAGACCAACGAATGAAGATGGGGTGCAAAGGTAGGATTATTCTTGAATAACGAAAAGGTGGGACTATTGTAAGAAGACCGCTAAAAGGTTGGATTATTAGTTTCCATTTCCCCTAAATCAGTTAGATATGTTTGTTACTATCTGTTACGGCGATAAAAAAAATTAAAAGTTCTTTATGATGAGGATCGAAAAACATTACACTTACAGGGTTCAGTATTGTTTTGATTCAAACATTGAGTCATATTAGTTAGTTACTATTACTCCTAAGTTCCTTAAAATCAGTTTTAATTATAAGGGAAAACAGTTTGCTATCCTAAAAAGTATGTGAAGAAACAGTAGGTGAAGATAGCTTCTTATAAGAAAAGTAATGAAATCAGTCTATTACTAAAAGTCTATTATGTGAAGAAACAGTATGTGAAGATAGCTTTCCTATAAGTATGTGAAGAAGTAATGAAGATAGCTTTCTTATAAAAAGCTTTCTTATAATAGCTCACTTCTTGTGAAGAT